AGAACTCGATATTTTAGTCAGGAAGAAATCGCCCAGGATGACGTGCCGTTCATGAGATTCAGTGCACGTCATTTCCTGTGGGTTCTTCTAAAGAAGTTTCAAAGGAGTGTGATCATGACAAGTCCACACAATTTGACTGTGAGACACAGAGGAGAATGAATGGTCATGTAAAGAATATGCATTTTCAACAGCTTGTGGAAACAGCAGCAAGTAAGTTTACCTACATTCATTTCTTAACTCAAAAAGCAGCTTTAAACATCATTGGCTCTTTTTCGTCTTAAAATTATGCAACCTATTTTTAGTGACTTGTGGCTGTTGTGAAACTAACTGAAGTTTGCAGTTTCCTGCATGAATGAGTCTGATTCCCTTTTAGCCTTTTTTTTTTTGTCCAGTATTTGAGTAATAGACATTTTTTTTCCACACAATTTCAGCATGTTTAAACTCCAAAAATAATGAGACCAGTCTATTTTTTTCCTGTCAGTATGTTCTTTAATGGAAAGAGTTTGGCTCTGCGATTACAGTTTTGTAAATGAACTCCTCCAGTTATGCGAGGCAGTTTACGATAACTGACCGCTTCTGTTCTCCTCAGCATTACTCTGCTTCCTGCTGCTTGTGGTTGTTGATTCAACTAAAACCGTGGCAGCCGCCAGAAACCAGGAGTGCAGCAATGACCTACATCGGACTATGAAGCTCACCAGGCTTGTCCATAAGGATACCGGTGATCTGATAAAACAATATGTGAGTAAATTCATAAATCTGCTTCATTTTTACCCAACCAATCACACATTGTCACTGTATTACATTATGTTGTGAATCTGATTCAAATTTCCATTCGTCCCTGGCAGAAAACGTCCCAGGGGGAAATGCCAGAGCTCCTCTGCAAGGCTTCGGTGAGCGGCATCCCCGACCCGAACATCTCTGGGCTGGAGCCTTCGGAGAAAATAGCAAGCATGTATGCGCAGCTCCAAGCCTTCTCCCCTCATCTGACGAGGGTGTACGAGCAGCAAACAGACTTGCAGCCCCCAAAGAGCCCGCTTCTGAATCTACTTAACATGGTGATAAATCAGACCGGGATGCTGACTCGCCGCATAAACAACTTTTATCACAAAGTCTTCCCGAACCTGCCTCTACCGGAGCTGGCGGGGGGATCCACAACACTACCGCCGCCTCAGAACGTCTTCCAGCAGAAGGTCTACGGCTGCGTGGTCCTGACGACCTACAAGAAGCTCCTGACAAACATGTCCAAAAACATGAGGACTCTAAGAAGCAAAGTCTGCAGAAAGGCACCAGCAAGTGAATTCAACTTATTTTGATGACCTGGGGCTGAACTCCGGCAGTCGGTTTCCTGCAGCACTTTACTTACTGGGATGACAACAGACTTAACGAAAACATGTGATTGAAGATGGCAGGTACATCAGAGTAACGGAGGATATTTATCGTATTTAATATTTATTTTCTGAAAGTGTTCCTGGAAAGAGTGAAGTGTGAAAATTATTAGCTGGCTTATTGTTGCATGTTTTGTAATTTAAATGTTTTTTTTTTGGTTTTTTTGTTTTGTTTGCTGTACACAGAACATTAATCTGTTGCTCACATCCTGATGACATCAGTACAGAGGATTAAAATATGCAACACAAGCTGATCTGTCTGTTGGATTATTCCTGTGAATTTTTCTAATAGGTGTTTTCCCCCCTTAAAGTGTATGAAAAGTATCATGTGCTGTTTTTTTCTTTCTTTTTTTCGAACAGAATCACTCCCTAAAAGAGGAGTTAAAAAGAAAATCGGGAAGCTGCTGAGACGCTGACTGTGTGATATCAGCTTCTAGTGACGCATGTGTTTGACACAGGGCTGCATCAGATAGGAAAGATTTCATGAAACTAGCAGGCTGTCTGGTCAGTCACAAGGTGTGTGTGTGTGTGTGTGTGTGTGTGTGTGTGTATGTGTGTGTGTGCGTGTGTGTGTTTTGGGAGGGTCAGACCACTAAATTTGTTAACGGTGTGTCATTTGCAGCTTTGCATCGTTATACAGATGCTCTTGCAAGGGCGTATTAAGATGGGGAACAAAAATGATAACATTTTGGATAAAGATGCCCCTTGAGTAAGTGCTTGAAGACTTGAGCTTTATTAGTCTGGATAATATCGTTTCCACAAAATTAACTAATTTTAGCTCAACTTTCCTCCAGTCACAAGCTGTCAGGAAACTAGAAGTAGATAGGGGATTTACTCTAGGTCATGAATCAAGTTCCCTGTTATAACTTTGCCTTATTTAAAGCAACACTGAGGGCACCTTAGGGCGGCAACACCTACTACTGAGTCTGGATCATGCATTTCTTTTAACTGTGCTTAAAAATACGTACCCCAGCCCACATCTGAGGAAATATAAAAACAGCTGCTGGCATCTCGGTAAAACCAGATTTACCAAACACTGCAGAAATAGTAGCACCATTAAACTTGCCCACATTTTGTCACATTAGAGCCACAAACTTTCATGCATCTTATTGGGCAGTGCAAAACTATTGTGCGACAGCAATGCAAAAAAAAAAAGAAACGATACGTGGCTATTTGAAGTTTTCATAAATAATTATCCTAAATGTGTGAGGCACGTTTACATTCAGCCTATTCTGAAGGATGATCTTTTGATGTAGATTCAGCGGTGAGTTTTTGGGGTGCGTCCCTTCCAGCAGACTGAACAGTTTGAACTCTGTTTTTTTTTTTTATAAGACAGCAGCTTAGTCAAACTGGATACATTTTCACACAAATTCTAGATAAGATTTAGATCTGGTCTTTAATTGATCCCATTGTCACTGTGCATGTTTAGCGTAGTTATTCTGTAGGCGACTGAACCTCTGCCAAACCCTGCATGTTCTGCACATTCACATTTTGCTTCAGGGTTGCCCATCAACTCTAACCAGCTTTTCAATCCCTACAAAAAAAAAAAAAAAAAAAAAAAAAAAAAAAAAAAAAATATATATATATATATATATATATATTTGCAGCATGATGCTGCCATCACCCATATTTCACAACAAGGATGGTGCACTGAGATGTGCAATCAGCCAGTTTCCTGCACTTCACATCTAAGTGAAGACTAAATAAGCTTAGTCTTTTTTATGGACTTCTTTCAACAATGTCTTTCTTTAGAAAAAACTATGTATTATTTTCCTTCCACTTCACAAATATCACCGGCTTGATGTTAGTCTATCAGATTCAAACTAATACTAATTTATTAGATTTGAGGAAACAATTCACTGTCAGATTTCAAAACCAAAAGAGTCTTAATTAACCCACAGGAAAGAGTGAGCACAGGGACATCCTTAGCTGTTTAGTCACTACTCATCCTATAAAAAAATGTCAACTTCATCAGTTAGTAGTGTCAAATTAATAAAAAAAAAAATCCCTTCCTTCAAATTTTATTCCTTTAAACAAATTATTTTGACTTTTATTTTGAAGGGCCTACTCAAACACTATTCTCAGAAAAACAGACTGAAAGAAGCTTGAAATTGAGCTTCCGATAAACTCATTTTATGAAAACTATGAGTCAAGTGGAAAATAACTTCTGAAACTTTGAGTGGTTGAATCTTGTGGTGACGCCACAAGCGTTTTTTTTGTTTGTTTTTTTTTTAACCTGCACGACAACTACTCATATGCAATAAATTAAAACATTATTGAAAAGTTCACTTCTTTCAGTCACTCGGTTCAGTTCAGTAAGTGAAACACAATGAAAACATGGCAGAAGAAGTTTAATGTTTAATAGCAGATTGAAAGGTGTTCATTTTCAAAAGATACTTTTAATTTTATAACTGATTGGGAAACATTTACTGAATATGAATGTATGAGGTATAACCAGGTATAACAGGAGTTTAGATTTGACACACATTGGGGGTGATTTAAGTCACACACACACACACACACATACACACACACACACACACACACACACACACACACACACACTTTAGCATCATAGTGGGCCCAGAAGCTCTTTGGGACCCTTAACATAGTTTGATCCGAACAATTTCTGACACAATATTTTTTATCATGTCATCCATGTTTCAACATTTGTCTGTTACGTCTAATTTAATAATTTAATAACTACTGTTAAGAAACTCGGATATGAAACAAATGATGGACATATTTTGAAAAGTACACCTTACTCATACATTTCTAATTTTTTTTATTATTATTTCTTTTGTTTGTTCCCTGCTAGTGTTGAGGCCATAAACTGCTTTTTTTATTTGAGATAGGCTGCCTCTAGATGGCAGTATATCTCACTAACAAAGTAAGATGAAAACTGAATAATAGGCAATAAGCAATAATAATATTAATAATAATAATAATAATAATAATGACTCACGTTTATGAGTTCTCGTTTATTAAGCAATTTCATTATTATATGATTGTTTTTAACGTCTGTCCATCAGAAAAGTGTGGGTAGAAGGAAGAAAGATGACAACATATCTTCCTATTGCTGCAACATTTGGTGTAAAGTTCAAATGCTGACTTGCTGTTTTTAAGTTTCATTTTGTTTTGCTTTTTATGCTTGTATTTATTTTTGTTCAGTGTAGAATGCTTCTCAAAGACCCTTATGTGAAAATATCGGTTGTGTTTGTCAAAAACTGTATCCTGAACTTTGAGAGAAAAAGTAAATGTTGAAAGTCTCTTCAGTTTTCTCACCATTGCTCAAGAAAAATGGTTTCCATTACTCATTTTTATTTCAGGTTATGATGTTTTTTTCCTGATAAACCTTCCCACCATTTGCTCAAATGCCGTTCTCTCACCATAAAGAAAAGTTTTAACCTTATACTAACCTTAAAATATATGAATGTTCCTTTTATGATGAAGTAGCACAAATATTATATACATATTATTCTGCTTATTTGAAAATCATTGAAGCTTTGTTGCACAATAACTCCAACCTGAGAAATAAAGGGTTCAGGCATCTTTCAAGGCTACATTAATATGAATTTTATGCCCATGATGAATGTATGTAGACTTTTCACTGGACCCAAGTTTCTTTTTTCCTTTTGAGAGAAATGCAAATGATAAACAGTTTCAATGTTATTTATTTTTAATCTACAGAGTGCAGGGAACTGGCACTTACTGCTCACAACCAGAAATACATATTTTCTGTAATAGAAAGAAAACGACAAGAAACATTTTTGCCATGAGGCAAACCATAGCATCTTTGATCAAGGGGCATTACAAAAAGAAAACTTTACATATTCAAGCCCCTGCATTCACATATGTAGTCTATCTAAATATCAGTCCATTTCTTGAACACTGCTAACAATAAAAGTGGATATTTATTTTAATAAAGTTCCATTCACAAACCTACATTCATTATTGGCATGAATGTTATATCAGTTTTTGGCTTTTAATTCTTTTTCAGACTTGACTGGTTGTGGTCCAACTTTATTAACTAAAAAAAAAAAAAAATCTATAACTGAAAACGACCCATTCTGGGGAGAACAGCAGTCAAGCCACGTCAAAAGCCATTAGCCATACCTACAGCTATAAGAGTTGTGTAATCGAGGCATGAAGCCATAAAGGCTTTAACCCAGTGTTTTGTGGTGGCTTGGTTTGGTTGTGACATTCACTCTGACCTAAAAAAGACAATTCAAAAGCTTGCTTTACGGCCGAAAGTTGAAACAGCATTCATGCCCATGAAGCGCATTGTAAAGATTTTACTGGAACCACAATCTTACCTCTTTTTAAATAAATGCAAATAATAAAGTGCTTCAACGTCCCCTTTTTGCGCAAACAATAACAGGCATGCACATTCTGTAGTAAAGAAATAAATATTTTCTGTGATCATACAAGACAACTATAATATCACGTGAGATTTATGAAAATAATTTGCGTATTCAATCCCATTTACATCAACAAATAGTGTCATCCACGTTTGAATATCATTGCTCTGTCCTGGCATACAGTAGTGCAATCTTATTGCTTAGAATTAAGTCTTCTAATAAATTAAAATTGTCGTTCGGTTTGCATGGTTGTTCCAACATGCATGAGGCGTATCGTCAGTGCAGGCATGTTGCTACAGAGCAAAACAAGAAACTAATATCAAACAGTTTAAGGCATCAAACTTTCTATTCTCAAAGCTTACTTAAAACAGCTGGACACTTCAGCCCAACCTGCAGCCAGGGATCACATCCGTCTTTAAGAAGCGAATGTTCATTCTTGATTCGATATCAAAGTTAGACAGCAGCTGCAAAGAAAACAAAACAGCAGCTCAGCGTCGCGTTTCAGACTCGTACAAATTCATTCAAACTAACTAAAATCAACTTCAATGTCATTTTAAGAACATATGCCGACTACCTTTGCCACACATTAAACATCGGATGAGCCATTTTTTTTCTTTTTTAAAGCACAATGCACTCTGTGAACGAACCTTTAGAAAATGCTCGAAGGTGATTCCCTCATAAAATTCATCGGGGTCCTGAGTTCAAAACAGGAAGCTTGTGATTTAGTCTGTGCAAGGAAGGAAGCAAACGACTTTATCTGACCAGAACCACCTCCTTACCCTGTGACCAACTGTTCTGGCCACTTCAAACATGGCTGCATCAGCAATGGCTCTGGACGTTTCTTTCCCCAGTGCTCCGCTGCGAGATAACAACTCCTCCACCAACTGGAAATATCAGAACAAGAACAGCTCTGATTTCTGGAAGTGAAGGAGCGAGGTGAAATCCTCAATTTCCAGCCGACTGACAGACAATAATTCAAACGATTCTTAAGTGCAATAAGAATCACTTGAATATTTTGGACTCAATAAGAAGCTCACGTGTCTGTAATCCTCAAGCGTTATCAATCCATCGCCGTCCGAGTCATGCATGTTGAATATAACTGCAGAGAAAAATGCAACTTTTATGCCAGCCACTGGCAAACATCAAGCATGGATTAGAGATTCCCTGAAGACAAAACGCACATTTAAGTTTCTCCCTCCTGATGTTTTTACGCTGTTCATCGGTCATTTTCGAACACGGGGGCTTGAAATGAGACATGACCACCAGAAATTCTTCAAAGTCAATCTCGTTTGCCCTGCCCTCACAACTCGGGGAAAAGTTTCTGCAATAAAGACAAAAAATATACATGCCATAATTATTCTAAAAGTTTATTTGCACACACAACAATACTAACAGTAATAATAAGAAATCAAATAGAGCCCAGGTTTCTTAAGAGTGAAGTTATGTTGTAAATGCATATATAGGCATCAGTGTAAAATGCCCACACCGACGCCTAAAGCAGATCTTGTGGATTTCTGTGTTAATAAGGAGAAGATTTATATGATTTGTCCACTGAAGTAAAAGAAGAAGTAGTCAGGAGAACAATGAAGTAGAAAAAGAAGTCAATTCAGCAACACATCTGAGATTAAAAGAATGGTTCACAAGTCCAAAAATCTTTGCCCTAGAAAAAAATCTCTGGTCATGGGCTCAAACCAGTGGCACATGGTCAATCTGTGTCACAGAGACATCAATTGTAAACTAATGTTCTTATTACCAAAGACAACCTAATACAAATATGCAGCAGTGTCAAAAATTTTCTGAAAAACCCTGCAAGTGGCTGATATCAGGAAACCCTACCAATGGCTGGAAAAAGCTGGACTCAAGGACAGCACAGAGGCTCTCATCCTGGCTACACAGGAACAGGCCCTAAACACCAGAGCAATAGAGGCTCAGATCTACCACACCAGACAAGACCCAAGG